ATCCACGCTCCTGGGTTCGTCGCGAATCCACGCTCCTGGGTTCGTCGCGAATCCACGCTCCTGGGTTCGTCGCGAATCCACGCTCCTGGGTTCGTTGCGAACCCACGAGCAGGGTTCATCGCGAGGAACCCACGAGCAGGGTTCATCGCGAGGAACCCACGAGCAGGGTTCATCGCGAGGAACCCACGAGCTGGGTTCATCGTGACGAACCCAGGCTCTTGGGTTCGCAACGAACCCACGAGCTGGGTTCATCGCGACGAACCCAGACTCCTGGGTTCGCCTAAAGGTAAGAAAAAAAAGAAAAAAAAGAAAGAAAAAAAAGGCTGAAGGAAGGAGAGGATGGGGGAAGAAAATGAGGGTAAATTGGTAATTAAAGATAAAAAATTGGCCATGTCATCAAGTTTTGCTGAATGGATTTCACACGTAATTTAAGTAAAGAAAAAAAAATTTTTTTCCGTTAATTAACATGCCACATAAGCCAAAATTTAACGGAGGGACCAAAAAGGGGCTGGATTTGTGAACAGTAAGGATCAAAAAGGGGATTTTTTCGGTACAGGGACTAAAAAGGAGCTTTTTCCTATAGTAGAGGGACCAAAAAGGGTATTTAACCTATTTTTTTGTGTTTATATGATTGTTTGCTAAGAGATTATTCAAATTGCAGGTTGTTGCGAGAGATTTTTGGATAATTGAGTTCAGTGAATTGAGCTGGGTTCGATGGAACCTATTTGCTGGATTACATCGAACCCAGATCTGCTGGATTCCGTCGAACTTTATAACCGATGGGCAAAGAAGCAATTGTTAGTGGTGATGTGGGACGCATTTGGATGAATTTGGTATATTTTCGCCAGGTAGCATGTGACGTGGTAAAAGTTTTATGCATGTCATCACTTTTTTAAGTTTTGCCCTCCACATCATAAAAAAAATATAAAAAATGCCACCTAAGCAGGGTTAACGGCCCAAATTAACAGAAGGACTAACGGAGTGCATTTCGTATAGTTTAGGGATCAAAAAAGTGCAAAAAATTGTTGAGGGACCAAAAATATTTATTTTTTAAAGTTAAGGGACCAAATTAAGCATTTAACCAAAGGAAAAAAGAAGAGAATAAGAGGGAAAAAGCACTTATTTTTATTTGGGTAAAAAAATTTAATAAAAGGGAGAGAGATGGAGAGAGGTAGAGTTTCATCATCTTCTTTATTTTTATTTA